ACAGCCCCCCCACACACGCCTCACAACTCACCATCTTTTATCATAGTACAGTTTGCCGTCTTCTATCCGAGCCTCAAATCTCTGGGCTGGAGACTCCGCAGGCGTGGCAGGCAAGTGTTCAGGAGAGGACGGGGAAGCTGGAGGAATCAGAGATGCCAAGATGACAAGCAGACAAGTGAGCCTGGGCCTGAGCAAGGGGCCCAGCAATGCCACGCAGGAACTGATACACCAGTGCAGCCACAATCCCGACCTGCAAGTCCTTCAGCTGTATATGGAGGCAAAGTCACCGTGCTGCCTGGGTTGGGTGCAGTGGCTATTCACAGGAGCCACCGACTATCCCCAGGGGCCATTAGTGTTGACTGCATCAGTTTCTGCAATCTGGTCACCCCTCATCGCCAGGTCACCACACTGATTCTAAACTTAATGTGGACACCAAATCAGCATAGCTCACTCAGAACTTCTTGAATGTTTCAAGGGTGTACGGCCTACTAATGAGGACTAGGAACAGCCAGGGGGCCTCACCAGGGCCAGACCATCACTAGACTAGCAATACCACGGCTGAGCTCCAGAAAGCCCAAGACACTGACATTCCCTACGGTTTCGTGATTGGAACAGAAATGGTCCTGAACCTAATGTCCACCCGACACCCACACAGAAGGGAACCTTCAAGAGCCAATCAAAGGTCTCCCTTATAATAAATCCTACAGAAAGACAAAAACAGTGCAGCTGGCTTATAAAACAGCATGGGAGAGACACATTATGATTGCCTGTCATGACTTCTCCTAATTCACTCCTGGCAATCCCACATCCGCTTTTCCAATGACAGGTACAAAGACTGGCAATGTCATCGGGCACTCACCTGGTCTCTTGGGTGACTTAAGCTGTAGGAAGAATAACAACAAAAAAGTCTCAGAGAAAATCATCTTAGGAGCAACTTAAAGCATCAGAGATGTCATGGTGACTTTAACAAGTGACAGGAACTTACGTCACACGTGAGCTTTCAAAAACATCCCACTATACCTTGTTCAGCGTTCTCAGGTCCTCCATGATCTGCTCGTCTGTTAACAAGTAGTTAAGCTGAGGTGCGGAGAGTTAAAGGAACACACGGCTTCCCAGGAGACAAAGGTACACAATGCCCCCGACACTTTGGGACCAGAGAGGCCCAGGCTACATAAAGGCTGTTTTCAAAGTTAGAGCTCGCCTCCTTAAGAGGTTGACTCGCATGCTCAAAGTCATCAGGCATAGAGAAGAACTCAACATGCCCCTCGTGAAAACTGCTCTGAGGGGAAGGGAAGCTGTTCAGTAGATGTGGGCAGTGGTGGGAACACGGGACGGTAAGGGGATGATTTCATCTCAGGGTAGAAAACACTGCCGCTCACAAGTTTGAAGCTTCCCAGGCATACAAGGGAAGTCTAGGCTCAGATCATGCTGTGAGGGGAAAGGCCTGGAGCACACCCTCTGCTGGCCCAAAAGTACAGACCACTCTGGGCAGACTGCTACATTTAATCTTCCCAAGAGAGTTACCCCATGCTGGCCCATTGGCCATGTCTGTGGCTACACAGCGTCTTTCCATGAATACCCTACCTACTTGTTGTACAGTTCACGACCCACTCGTGTAGAGGCAGGTAACTGGTAGACACAACCCACTAGTATAGAGAGAAGCATGTAACTGGTAGACGACAGCAGTCTACAACCCACTAGTGCAGAGGCGGATAACTGGGGGCCAGGCCCGTCTGCAGCCCAAGAGGCAGAGGTGGGTAACTGGGACGACAGCAGACAGTGCTGTCCTCAGTTTACACATCTCACTGTAAGCTGCCCTGAGCTTGAAGGGGGTGTGAGAGCAAAGCTGTTTCCAAAAGAGAACCCTTCTACAGAACCATTTTCTGGAAATCTCTCCAACGAAGAGCAATAGTTGAAGACTCCAGTTCAAAATGGTGAGCCCGACCTGTGGGTAGGTGTCTCGAATATGCTTTCCCGACCAGTGTTGCGACTGTTTTGTGAGAATGTGACCCTGCACACGATCGAGCCGGCAAGCACAGGATTTCATGATTCAAGCTTGGCACAAACGGATATCAGGAGCCGGTTTCCTCCTCTTGTCTGGAATGGGGACAGGATCGTTTGGTCGCCTCCGCAGCTTTCTGGTCATGATGGGTTTCACTTCCATAGAATCTGTGGCAAGAATGGAGGGGTAAATCTATCCAACTGCCCCTGAAGCCAGCTGGAGTCCCTGCAGTGTAAGAACCTGTCCCACGGACACCCCAATCACAGCTGTGTGACCAAGCATGCTTATTAGTCTGCACAAGCCCAGGCAGATGCCCACGCCAGGCTGCAGGCCCCGTGCTTACCTGAGTCACGCTGCCTGAGCACCCACAGTCACGGGCTATGAGAAGAGGCAGGGGATCGGGCGGGGGCCTCACTTCTGCTGCTCCCTCCCACAGAGGCTGGGCGCTGAAGCCCTTTAAAGCCCCTGACCCCAGACACGGTGTTATATGACGTCTTTGTTTACACACTCCCAGCTTTCCTCTTCATCACCCTTTGTATCTACTGGAGGTCAAGACTGATATGAAGACAGGAAACGGGGCCGCCTTTCATTCTGGATTTCTCTATGAGGCTTGGGTGGATGGACTAACACAGGGAAAGCCACTTAGATCTGCTCTCCCCAGGGGGATGGGCTAGCCTGGCACCTGGGTCTGATTCTGCTAAAACCAGCAAGACCTGCTATTCCAAGCTTCAAACGTCAGCTTCTATGAGTCTGTCAGCGAGCCAAAGAGCTCAACTAGGGCAGCACAAAATCAAACTCACAGGTCTGAAGCTCACACCCTGGAGTGTGACAACGCTGCAGACGACACCTGAGCAGGACACGTCTCAGTCATGTAGCCTCCAAACAGCTAACTCAACTGCCTTGCACCGGGAGCCTGCACCGGGAGCCTCCCCAGCTTCTGTGAGACAGAGAGTCCCACTGGATCTTCCTTCACTAGTCCAGTTCCTACCCATCCATTCACCAGGAAATCCACCAGAGTCTGGAAGGGAACACTGAAGACACAGTGGGTGCTAGTCAGTCTGGGGCGCTGCCTGGCAACACTAGCCCCACAGTAACAGGCCTTTTGTTCTGCACCCCCAGGCTGCTCGCTCACTTCCTGCCCCTCCCCAGGGGCCCTTCAAACTTCCCTTTAACATACTTAACCGTAAAGCAAGCTCACCCACTCATCTCCCTCCTAAGGGGAATGAATCTAAGGGAGTGAGCTAACCCCAGAGCAGAGGCAAAAGGACTGGTTGAGCAGAGGCTGGGAGACAGGGGAGGAGGTCACTAGAAGTTCCATCCCGACGAGGGGATGAGTCCACCCACCGTCCTCCTGCACGGCAGTGACTACAGTTAACTAGACAGTCTCTGGGTCCTGAGATTGTCAGTTGCCACCAGGAAATGACAGATAAAGCGGGGAGCCGGCTCAGCTGGTGAGGGATGTGACCCAGGGGTAGAGCACTAGCCCGGCATCAGGAAGGCCCTGGGTCTACCCCCCAGTTCTTGAGATGAAAAAACTTTGTTTAGCTATTGGGGTAAAAATAACTGCAATGATTTGAAGCACACACTTGAGGCTTGCAGCAGACCGAGTGTGCGAGACGGGACCCCACAGGACAAACAGCCTCATCCATCTCCAGGAGGCTGGCAGCTCACCCATGCTGCCACAAGTCACTGCTGCACATGGAGGGAAGAGCAGGAATTGTGTTTGGAGGCCAAACCATGCTCGAAGGCCAAACCATGGAACAAAGGGATCAACTTCCAAGAGAAAGAAGTTGCCTAGGACAAGGGGCTGCCGTTTAGACGGAATCCGGCCACCGCAGGTCAGGTCACCTCGTCCCCTCCCTCTCAGACCTTTCTGTGCATCTTCCCCTGACTTCCAGAGCCCCTTTCACACCGGAGCATCAGGCACTGCTTCACACAGCCAGACTACAAGGTGCCTGTCACATCTTTACCTTGCCTTAAACCTGGAAGATCTGGGAACTCTCTAAATGCTGTCTCCCCCAGGACAGATCAGTGAGCAACCCCAACCTTCCTGACTCAGTGGGGTGGAAGGAGCCTGTCTAATGGATTTGACTGAGATCATGAGTACCTTCCAACAGGGGCTGGAGGGTTAGCGGACACCCTAGTGAGCAAATGTCAGGAAAACAACGAAAGCCAAGAGGCAACAAAATGGCTGACTAGTCAAGGGAAAGACAGATTAAAAGTGATCACGCCTCGGCTGAAAAGGCGGCCTGTTCCTGAAGAGGAGCCTGGTTCAGTTTCCAGCCCCTCCTCAGGCAACTCAGGACTGCCCTGAATGCCAGCTCCAAAGCCATCTGCTGCCCTCTTCCAGGCTCTAGGCAACGGCAAACATGTGGCATAAACATGTGCACACACAAGTGTGTACACACACACACACAAACACAAAGATAAATCTTGAGAAAAAAACTGCGTTTAACACCGTGATACCTTAAAGGGCACGAGATCTGCTTGGGTGTCTGGGTCACTTATAACCCTGGCCTCAATATCAAAGGTTCATATCGGCACACTCTGCTCACCAGAGAGTGGCCCAAGAGCCCATGGGCAGGCCCCGGGGGTGGGAAGGGCCGGCCCAGTCCCTCAGCAGCCCCCAGGTGAGCTGAGTCTGCAGGAGGCAGCAGGCAAAGCAGCCCCACCCACTTCCAGCACGGCTCACAGCAACTGCATGCACAACTGGCCCTGGTGTGCCCAGGAGGCTGAGGAGACCGAGTGTCTCCTGCTACTCCCATGGATCCTGGTTCTTAAGTGACAGAGCAGGCGGTCCAAAACACTTGCTTCCTATGGCCTCTCTTGCTGGCCTCTCCTCGACTTTTTTAAGAGACATCTCGAAGTTGAAGAGGCCATTTTAAGACATTGCTTACTTATGTGGACGGAGCTGGAAGCAGTCAGCTTGCTTCCATCCATCCAACACCACAGCGGCACCATCTGTGGAAGGCCATTATCCTTCCAGCGTCAGTGCCTCCCTCCCATCCTCCACCACCAGTGCTCTGCACGCCAAGGTACCAAATGGCTTGAGGAAGGACACCGGTACCTTTCTACACACAGGCGGTTTTAAATGCTTTGCTATCTGCCTTACTGCATTACAAATGACCTCCCTGTCTTTTCTGCCTCCTGTCTCAGTTCAGAAGCTGGCTATAAAACCACCTGGCCAGGGCCTGATGCCTGTCAGTAACTAGGACACCAAAGCACACATGAGGTGAGCATGTCCTTCCCTGCAGACGGGGTGGGATTTCCCACTAGCCTAACGGCAGCTCCCGAACAGCTGGAGGCTCTGGTAGAGTGATGAGGTCTCAATGCCAGTCACAACCACCATCAAGAAAACAGCATGCAGCTCAAAACATGTGGAGGGACCCCCACCAGACCCTGCCTCACTGTCATGGGGACCTGTGGAGGGGAGTCCGCCCGTGTGGGTCGGGTGGTCAAGCTGGTCCACGACACAGAGGGACCCACGGGCTGTAGCTGTCTACTTTCTGATTCCTGAAGACCCAGATGTCCTGCAGATCCCGGTTAAAATCAGCTGTCCCAGAGCCCCAGAACCTTCTGGACAGATGACAAAAACTAAGTTTCAGGGTGTGCAGAAGAACACACCACCTGTATGACCATGTGGCGAACTCAGTGCGGAATTGTAGTGCAGACCCTGCCAAGTTCTGAAATGGCGGTTCTCGCCAATGCTTTCTATCCTGTGATTCACCAGCCTGCAGACAGCAACGGAGAGTCGGCCCTGCTGCCTGTCTCTCCCCCCCACCCCACCCCCGTCTGTAAGGACGGAGGGACTGGTGCCTGACTGCAGCCGCGGTGCAGCCTGACAGAAACAGCGCTGACGGGTAAGCAGGTGGCCTGACGGATCTACCCCAACACCCACTTCATGATTTTCAAACCTCTCCCTCCCCTCCCACTCCCACCAGACCCTGCCTCACTGTCATGGGGACCTGTGGAGGGACATCAGATCCCAGCGAGCAGGGAGGAACCAGACTCTCAAAATACAACCGATAGAGGGAGCTGATCCAGAGACTTCTTAGCTTCCTACCCGCTGGCTCTGAGCCTCATAGCACTGCCTCGGAGAAGAGAGCCCCACCCACCTTCCTCATGACATCAGAGGACAACAGCCTTTTCTAATTGTAAGGATAGCAATCTCCAGGTGGCCCCCTAAGAAACTCAAAAGTAAGACACAAAGCAGCTGACTAGGAGCCAGGTAAGGCTCGAGCCTGAGTGTGCAATTGCTTCTAACAGCCTGCATGTGTCCTGCCTGTCCCGTGACACCCCGGGCACTCAGTGGAGAGATAAAGCAGCACCTGATGCGGGTGTGTGTGTGTGTGTGTGTGTGTGTGTGTGTGTGTGTGTGAAATGCTGCCGGAGTTGCGTCCCAGGCACGCATGCGAGGCGTGACAAGGGCAGCCCCCGGGCCCGGCTTCTGTACCTCCCGTCAGCTCCATTGTGAGCTTCTCATTCTCAATCATCTTCTTCTTCTCCTCCAGCTCGGCAATCAGGTTCTCCTTCAGCTCCACCTTCTTGTCTTCAAACTCCTTCACCGCCGCCTTCTTCTCTTTAATGTAATTCCTTTCCACCTGTTCCGTCTGACCGCAAGAGATGCAGCTGAGGTGAGGCGGCCGTGGGCGCCAGGCCCAGGCCAGCTCTGACCTCAGGAGCAGAGAAAGCCTGAGACTTCATTTCACCCACAGACTCATGGGACCAGAGGTCTTGAGGACAACCCCAACAGGTCCCCAAACCCAGCCCCATAACAGCACTGGCTTCCAAGGCACAGTGCTGCCTGCCACCTGGCCTGCCCCTCCCACATCACGAGTCCACAACAGAACTCAGTCCCTCCTCTCGAGAGCTAGGGGCTGCTCCTTTTGGAAGGACAATTTCAAGTGAAGACAACCCATTGCAGGGGAAGTTTCTACATTCAAAATCAACTGCACGAGACTAAAGCCAGACAGCTCCCTATCATGTTTGATCCCTAAGAACAAAAGCAACTATGGGCCACTCATTAGGCACCTGAACCCTCGAGTACTCAAACATCAGAATTAAGCTACTAATAAAAGAAAGAACCGCCTAAAAGCCGGCTTGTGGAACCTCACCACTGTCCTGGGTGATGGCTGTGGGCCGTCACTGGAACATATATGCCCTGCCTGGCCACGCCTACACTCGCCAAACTAATTTTAGTAGAAACACCTTCCAGTAACTTGAATTTGACAAACCAAAAAGCACCTTGTATGTCCGTCCCACTGGCCCCAAGGGCAGCCCATCATCCAAGAACCAGGCCCTTGTCTCAGCACCACTGCACGACCCTGTCTGTGACATGAAAGGAGACGTTGACTCCACATCACCTTCTGACCCATGAACACAAGACAGGTCTGTGGAGCAAACTCAGAGATGGGGCTATGGGGAACTAGCAAAGCACCAGGCTTATTCCAGGTCATAATATAAGGTCAATGGACAGACTGTGGGCTAGAGAGATGGGTTAGCAGGGAGCTCACTGCTCGTCCAAAGGACCGGAGTCTGGTCCCTGTGCCCACATTAGTGGCTCTCAACTGCCTGTAATTCCAGCTTCAGGAGATCCAACACCCTCTTCTGGCCTCCGAAGGCATACACATACATAAATTACATTTTAAATAAAAAAAAAAAAAAAAAAAAAAAACAAAAAACAAACAAAGAACAAGAACCGTCCATTTGCTGACAGAAAGCAAGGCCAGCAGACCAAGAGTCAGACTCTCCAAGGAGCCTACAAACGCAAAGGATCCTGGGTACTTACTTCCAGCTGGAGGAAGAGCTCTGAAAGAGAGAAAGACACGGTTAAGATTCGCCAGCCGCCATATTCCTAGATAGGGGTGTTGCGATTCACTGAGAGGCTTTGGCAGAGCCGAAGCCAGGGTCACCCCAGCCTGGGGAACCGTGGGCCTGGAAATCTGCTGTGTGCTTCCTTAACTCCTGGCACTCCTTAATTTTATGTAGCTTGGTACCTTTGGCCAATGAAATGGTGAGTTTCCTAAAGGCACAGACAATGTGCTGGTGACATCACACTGCTCAAACCAATGTGCACAATGCTTGAGAGCCCTGAACACACACTGTACAGCAGACCAGTGGCATTCCATGACACTGAGAGCATGAACTACATGGAGGCCAACACAAGGCCACGCCCCTCATCTCAGGTACAGACAAGCTAATCAAGGCTTGATGGATGCCAGCCTCCTCCACCAAGCAGACCAGGGCGAAGATGGACAGAGAACAGCTTTATGTAACGGTAGTCTTGCCTCGCCTTTCTCCCAGTGGAAGGTTCAGGTGTGTCATGGGGTTGCATTCTATGGGCCTGAGCGGGAGCACTGACCTGCATTCCGGATCCTCTCTCTGTACTGCTGATCCAGCTTCTTCATCCTCTTCTGATATTCTTGTAGCGTACCTGATGAGGCAGTCACAGGGACAGAGGCTCAGGGAGTCAGCTCTGCATACTCGCCTCTCCCAAGTCCCTTTCTAGCAAGGAGCCATCTAGAGAGCTGTGCCGGGGGAGGCACACAGCAGACACACTGGATGCCAGGGAGGAGGAACACAGCAGACACACTGGATGCCAGGGAGGAGGAACACAGCAGACACACTGGATGCCGGGGGGAGGCACACAGCAGATACACTGGATGCCAGGGAGGAGGCACACAGCAGACACACTGGAGACCACGCAGAGCTCCCCCCTACAACCTCCTCCCCCCACAATCTCCTCCAGGATGTGAGATGGAGTAAATGGGCAAGGACACCAGGTGACACTGAGCACCAGGCCCTATGGCCTAAGACAGCGGGCCTCACTCTCCTCATGACTCAGCCAAGTGGCTCACGGCAGTCAGATGGCGCAGGTGCAGACCCTGAAACCCCTGCTTGTTCACCCTCCCCAAGGCAGCTGGGATCAGCCCCCATCTGTAGGAAGCGCCTGCTGGTACAGTAACTGGCAGAGGACCAGGGCCCAGGAGCGCACCTCCCGGCAAGGAGGCACCGACGGGAAGCAGTGACACTGACAGGGACCCTAAGCCCTTCGAGGTGCTGCAGAGCCAGCAGCTGCTCTGCTCAGGCTCAGGCTGCAGCCAATGCTCGACCGCAGTCCCTTCTTCCTTCACTTGGTAGATGAAGGCAGAGCCGGGTCATGCCCCAGAGTCACATTCCTTAGAGAACGGTGACACTGTGTTGCCAGATCTTGGAGAGCTAGCTCTCAGTCTTAGGCTGCCAAGACTTTAGTGGCCACGATACTCAAAAGACACGGCCATGTCTTCAATTTCCCATGAAGAGAGAGCACTGTGGTGAAGCATGGGCTGGGCTCAGGAAGAAGAGAAAACTTGATTCCTTTGGTGACAATGCCCCCTTTCTTAGAAATGTTTTTTCCATTTGCATGTGCGCATGCCCATGCGTGTGCCTGGAGGTCAGAGAACATCGTTTGGAGTGAGGTCTCTCCTCCCACCATGTGAACCGTGGGGACCACAGTCATATCATGAGGCTTGGCGTCAAGCTCTGCTATCCACTGAGCCATCTTGCCGACCCACCTCAGCCTCTTAAAAAGACAAAGTTTATCTTAGGCACGGTGGTCTCTCAATCTATGCCCCAAGGCCCCAAGGGAAACTTCAAGAGAGTGTTCCATACTGAAAAGAGTGAAATATAAAAGTCAGGAACTCACTCTTTGATAAGAGACAGCAGCAGAACATGTACAGATGACTGAAACAGACCCGACTCAACCCTCACCCGAACTCCCAGACAGAAGTGAAACTTGCGGACTTCAAGGGCTTGCAGCAGGGACCGCTCTTGCAGCATGGGCCGCTGTGGAGCTGGGCCAAGGGCACACCTACCTTCCTGCAGCTGCTGCAGCTGCCTCTTCAATGACGCCAGTTTGTCCTGATACATCCTGCAAGAGAGGAAGGACTCAGCTCACAGGAAGGAGCAGGCAGTCCTGGAGATGCAATCGGTGGTCTTCAGGGCAGAGAAGGGAATCAGGCTGAAGAGGTTTGAGGTAGAGAGATCACAAAGAGATACCTCCTGCACCCCTCAAGCGTGTGCATCCCCGTTAAGCCGTGTGAACTGCACGAAGAGCCGCAGGCCCTAGCGAATCCCTACAGTACACGGTAAGCAAGAGCAGAGGAAGAATGGCAAAAGGAGGCTGAGGAGACAGGGTAAGACCGCTTGCCACCGGCCCTACCTAACGGCTGGAGTTCCACCTCTGGGACCAGCAGCACAGTGGAAGGAGAGAGCCGATCCCTGTAAGCTTTTGTCCGCCAGCCACAGGGCAACACGGTTTAACCCTCATAGTGCACAAGACAACATAGACGGCTGCTTCCTAAGGGATTTCCAAGGCTGGAATAAGGCGCCCTTAGCAAACCTGCTCTACAGACAGTGCAGCTGTGTAAGGGCCACGTCCACAACTCTTCCTGTCATGTGAAAGCCACTACCTTTCCGGGATCTCAAAAATAATGCTAACCCAGGCTAAATGCAGGATGGCTCTGCAGCCCCGGCCAGGCGAGAGCACAGAGCACACACAGCAATGTGGCCGGTGTACACCTCTCACACGCACGTCCGTCTGAGGACCACACACCAGCAAGCCCGTCTGCGCTGGGAGTCTGGGCATATCACATCTGGGGCAATACTTCTGCTTGTACATGAAAAACTCCTAGCCACTCAGTGATAACAACATAGGCCTTGGAGAACATGATTCAACAAGACCCTTTCATTCCTCAAAAAGGCCGACAGATATACAGACCGCTCTCCTCATAACATTGAGAGGCCCGTGGCTGCTCTCAGAGGGAAGGCTAGCCCTAATGCACAACTCACGTTCACCATGATGGAAGCAGGTTTTGTCCCAGTGGCTGTCTAGCTTAGTAAGTATGAAGGAGGCACGGTAACCAAAAGCTTATCTCTAAAACTGTTGCTGAGCGGGGCTGGCTCTAGAGATGGCTCAGGGCTTAAGGGCACTGGCTGCTCTTCCAGAGGACCTGGGTTCGGTTCCAGCACCCATGTGGCAGCTGACAACAGTTTGTAAGTCCAATTCTGTAAGGCCCTCTTCTGACCTCCGAGGGTACTGCATACACGGTACACAACATGTAGGCAAAACACCCATGTACATAAAAGAAAAATAAACAGATCTTTAAAAAAAAAAACAATTCTGAAACATGGCAAAGACAGGTGAGGACAGTGTTGGAGAAGTCTGTGGAACCCAGGGGATCAAGTCCCCACCACACAGAGGGAGTAGGCAATTCTGAGTCTCTCCTGGAAAGGGACTGCTTTCAGAATGAAAAAGGAATGGGGGGTGGGGACCAGATCTACGGACATCACATCCACAGAGAAGAGTCTGTGAGAACAAGTTTCAAGCAGACCAGACTCATCCAGTAAAAAGCTGGCAGAGCAGAAGGCCCAGGCAGAGTCTCAGGTGCAGCTGAGTGCACACACATGAATTGTTAATGTGACTTTGCCCGGCCACGGTCACACCTGGGTGAGTTGCTCCTCTGGGTTGAAAAGGACAGATGCTAGAGAGATGGCCATGCACACGTGAAAGGAGAAGCCAGAGGGATGAAATGGGGACCACCCAGCCTACAGGAGCTTAAGGGTTCAAAACCAAGAGCCTCAAAATAGACCCAGTCACCACTTCCTAAAAACTCGGTGTGGGGCCTCATAACCTGTGACCCAGGACTTGTGGGAATGTGAGTTCAAGGCAGCCTTAGGTAACAAATGATTCCCAGATGAGCCTGAAACTCCATGTGACCCTCTATCTCAAACATGACCTACACAACCATTCGTCTGGGCACAGATCAGGTAGCGGGTGGGACGGCGGCATGCCCCTGAGGTGAAGCTACTTGGAAGGCCGAGGTAGGAGGACACCAGTCGGGCAACCTGGCAAGACTTGAGATTTGTTTCATGGTCATGGGTGATGGTGTGTTCCTCTTTAAAAACTAACAACAGCTAGGTGATGGTGGTGTGCATGTTTAATCCTAGCGCTGGGGAGCCAGAGGCTGGCAAATCTCTAAGTTCAAGGCTAACATCGTCCGAGGAGCAAGTTCCATGACAGCCAAGACTACGCAAAGAAACTCTGTCTCAAAAAAATGAGTAAATAAAAAATAAAAAGGCCAGGTGTGGGGGTGCACACTGTCAATCCCCATACTCGGTGAACTGGAGATTAGTCCAGTCTCAAAACAACTCCCTGAATCCCCTCAGCAAACAGTCAGGGCTTTAGCTGACTATGAATGAAGATGGTGGAAGGGCTTTCGTGAATGTGTGAAGGCAAACAGGCGGTGTGGCGGGAAGGAGGTGGCAGCCTGCTCCCTCTATCTCCAGGACACTCGGGACACCCAGCATATGGCCTACAATGTAGGGCAGGGGCTGGGGGCCTACTACCCATTTTCCTGGGTACCAGTTTTCACAGCAATTCTAAAGGCCCGACCGCCCGGCCCCTCCCCGCCCCCGCCCCGCCATGTCCATCATGACTCCTGCTAATCTAGCCTCCGAAGAAGTTCCTAACAGGAAAGCCCTTAGAGATGACCAGAGAGGGAGATTACAGAAACATTTGTGCTTTGCAAGCACTGGGGTCAAAAGCAGTCTCTGTGAAGACTGAACCGCCTCTGTATTCCAGGGAAAACGCACAGGGGCGGGCTACTCACTGTTCCTTCGTCTCCACATACTCTTCCTCATCGTGCTTCGCCAGGTCGGTCTCGCTGGCATCCTCGGTGTCTGGTGAAACGAGAGGGGAGAGGCGGCGGTTACCATCAGGCTCACAGAATCGGCATCATGGCAGTGTAATTAGCAGGCTTCTAGGAGAAGAGTGAGTTTCTATCCAATGTGGGTCTGCATAAACCTACTAATAAAAAAATGTGTGTGTGTGTGTGTTTGTGTGTTTAAAACAAAAAAGAGAAATGCCACTCCAGCCTGGGTGTATGCTGAGAATGTACTTTAATATAATGCACAGTAAGAGGGCACGCCAGACAGTCCGGACAGAGGCCACAGAGCGACAGTGGAACAGAGTACAGCTCAAGAGGAGGTCTGGGCATGCGCACGCCCGTCCCATCACATGTTAGATGTATCCAGTGAAAAGGAGACCATCCCCACAGCAAACTCATTTCTAATAACTGAACCCATTTCCCAAGTTAACAGGTTTAAAAACAAACAAACAAACAAAACAGGAGCCGGGGCAAGATGCTTTTTGTTAAATGTTTCAAAACCTTGTATTTAAATAAATTTTAACAAAGGGGCCGGAGGCATGGCTCAATAGAGCTCACTATTCTTTACAGAGGATATGGGATTGCCTCCCCAACACCCATATCAGATGGCCTATAATGTCCTGGAACTGCAGCTCCAGGGGATCTGGCACCCTCTGCTGGTTTCAAAGCGCACCTGTACACGTGGCGCACATGAATTCATATAGATACATTTAAAAAGTAATGAGTTAAAAAACATTTTCAGTTACATTTGTTTTATGTGTATGAGTGTTCTGTAGGCGCACCCTCTGCATGCCTGGTACCCACAGAGGTCAGATGACGGCTGGAGCTGTAGTTACAGATGCAAATGTAACTTTGATTCACCTGACGCTGCCTGTCATCTTACTGCCTCCTCCTTAACCTCGGCCTACTCCTGGAAGCCTCTAGCCTCTGTCCATCTAATCAGACCTAGAATGTTTTTCAGTCTCTGAGACTTACTGCTGAACAAACTCTCGCCCTTTCTTATTCATTCTGGCTGGATGGTTCAACCCTCCTGTTCAGACCCAAACTCCTCTCCAGGCTGTCTGGTTTCCATCTGGCTTCGGTCAGTTTCTGAGTGAATGGCTCTGCTTGGCTTCATTCTAATTTTGGCAACGTCTTCAGCTCCTTCTCATTCTGTGGCTCGTTCTGTCTTCACCTGTGTCTGGCTTGCTCTTTCTTCAACCTGTCTCCGTAAAACTGTCCCAGGAAAACTGCCCCCTTCTTTTCTTCTTCTCTGGGCTGCTCTTAGGTACCCCTTTCCCTCTCATCTCCTGAGAGTTGATTACATCCCATTCAGTCAAAATCTTTCTCTGATCCATCAATTTGTCTGACACTCAATTAGACATCACTTTCTTTCTTTCATTCTTTGTTGTTGTTGTTTTGAGACGGGGTTTCTCTGTGTAGACCAGGCTGGCCTCAAACTCAGAAATCCACCTGCCTCTGCCTCCCAAGTGCTGGGATTAAAGGCGTGAGCCACCACCGCCCGGCTAGACATCACTTTCAAATAGGGGTGCTTTCTTCTACAAACTGACTTTGCCTTCATTGTTTGGGATTAAGATATGTACTAAGGGTGTGTCTGTATTCAAACCAGAGGGATTAAAGGTGTGTGCTTAGACTGAGCCAAGCCAGTCTTTTTTTTTCTTCTTCAATAAATAACACAATCTCTCGATTCACAGTGTGATCAAATATCATCCTGCAACATATAGACAGTGGTGAGTCATTCAAACCTGGACCCTCAGAAAAATCAGTAAGTGTTCTAAACTGCTAAATTTAAGCAAATATCTGGATCCAATGGCCTGAATGGGGATCAATTTTGTCTTCACTGCACCCCCTGGTGGTCGTTACAAGAAGTGCATCTTTCACGTTGAAAAATCCCTGGTCTAAAACTTGCTTTTTACCATAGTTAAACCAAATGCACTCCGTTCCTTCAACTTTCTGCTCTGCATACGCTGCTGCGTTTTGAGAGGCTGTGGCAGACCCAAGTCTCCACGAAGCTACCTCCTTTCTTTCAGTGGAAGGAACTTTCACGGAGGTCCTGGCTAGAGCTAGCCAGCTGTTACTAGGCACTTGAGAGACGAGGTAGCTTTTTGCTTTTTTACAGCCCGACTTTGTGCCAGAATACTGTCCACTCCACCCATACAAAGGCCTCCCCTTGCCCCTTGTCCTTAGGCTTCTAGCTTCTCTTCCACCTAGCTAGTTCCTTCCTCAATCCCTCTGGGTGTCACACTCGCCAAAGGGTAAACAAGGTCCAGATTGAGATCTGAGGCTTGAGGAGCGATAACGCTAATGCAAAACTACTCGGTCCTGAAAACAAATCCCGACCTCGCCTTTGGCCCACTTCGCAGTGGCAGGACGGATTCCATTTGAGCCTCTCACACCTAGGAAGTGAGGACTCCATGCTACTCCGCAGGAGGTGGGTAAACAAGTCAGCTTTAAGGTCACAAAGCTGGGGGAGGTGCGGGCCAAATGAACACTTACACCTGCCCGATCCCAGGTCCCCAAGTGGGGCTAAGGGCTTTAAACATTTTGAGAAGCTGGGAAAGAGGAAAGGCAAGGCGGGCATCACTCCGACCCAAGTGCGGAAATGAGACACTGGGCTGGGGACAGTCTAAAAAGGACCCCCGGCTCTCCCCCCCCCCCCCACCCACAGCTCCTGAACCCCGATCCCCACCGCACCTTCGTCCGACTCTCGACCCCGACAGCTGCGGTCGTCGTCCTCGGCGCTCTCCAGTTCCTCGTCGTCCTCGGGGTAGTACTCCGGAGCGGGCGGCACTGCAGCCGGAGCGGGCGCCGGAGCCAGCAGCCCCGCGGCGCTCATGTCGCCGCCTCGGGCCCGGGCGGAGCGTGTCCCGCGGAGATCGCGGCCGCCTGGCTGCGCCCCGGACGGTCCCCGACCTCGCGCCGCTGGAGCCGCGGACTCCCGGTCTCCCTCGGCGCCGAGCTCCGCCCCCGGCGCCCGCGCTGGGCAACGGGGGCCTCGCGCACCCGGCTACTTCCGGGTCGTGTGCTGCCCGGTGACAGCCTGATCGAGCCGTCGTCGAGGCAGTGGGTGAAAAGCCGGGCTCCACGTTCTCGGACACGGCAGCGTCGTCATCTCTTGTCTTAAGAATCCTCGATCGGCCAAGGGAGAGGGGCGGAGGCAGGAGTCTCTGGAAGTCAGGCACATCCGTGGGCAGCCATGCCGCAGTCAGGACCCCGAAGTTGGGAGGACACTTCCGGAAACGGCCACCAGGCGGCGCCTGGAGTCAAAACTAAAGTGAGGATGGAAGCGACCTGATGGGCGGAGGCTTTGCAGAGCCCTGGATAGGTCTCTGATTCAAGCATGGTCTCTGATTCAAGCAGGTGAACGACTTAAACCGTTCCCATAGTGGGCTTGGAATCCTGGACAGCCAGAGTGTGTGTGATACAGAAAATGGGGTGTATGGTTGCGCCCCTGCCTTAATGCGGGCTTTATTAAAAATTACAATAAAGGCAAGTTGCTGCCATTTCATCCGCGGGTCAGGTGAATGTTATGTCCCGAGGCCTCGCCAGTGCTTTCTTTTGAATAGATTTACCGTGTAAGCTGTTCTACCGATTTTACAAATGATCAAAAGAGTTATCAGTCTCCTTTCAAAAAAAGAAACCAATGGTGTCCGTTTAGAATCCCAGTTCCAGGCTGTCCACGGGAGACCTGCCTTGTGTTTCCGCGAACACTAATCCCTGAAAGTATTTTGGCCTAAAGCAGTAACTTGCTGACTTGATCATTTTCACGTGAGTAAATAGAGCATTTCCCTCCAGGAACTACATTGGCTTAAATTCAGAAGCCAACGCTGGGCAAAGTAGCCTTTAGTCCTAGCACTAGGGAGGCAGAGGCAGGCTGAGTTCGAGGCCAACCTGGTCTACAATGCGAATTCCAGGACAGCCAGGGATACACAGAGAAACCCTGTCTTGAAAACAAACAAAAAAGACATGAAACTGAGTTTCTCCATGTGTTAATCCACATAGCCCTATACTCCCTGAGAAGAGGAACACAGTGTTACAGTTTTGCTTAGAGGAGGAGGAGGAGGAAGAGGAGGAGGACGAGGGGGAGGGGGAGGAGGAGGAGGGGGAGGAGGGAAAGGAGGAGGAGGAGGGGAAGGAGGAGGAGGAGGGGGGAGGAGGAGGAGGAGGAGGAGGAGGGGGAGGAGACCCACGGGTTCTGCCTAGTAGCTCATGACTATAATCCTAGGTGCCCAAGAAAATAAACGTAGGAGGTCAGAGCAAGATCAAGGCTTGCCTGGGTTTCAGAGTGAGTTCAAGGCCAGCCAGTTTAGTGAGACTGTGGTAGAAACAACAACAAGGAGGGCTGTTGATACATGGGAGTTGGTAGGGCACCTGCCCGGCATGCTGGAGACCCTAGCTTCGCTCCCTAATTGGAGAGGCAGGGAAGATGTGTCCAAAAAGAACCCCATTCAGTTAACTCAAATCTGCGCAGAAAACTGAACAAGCATCAAGGCCCGGCCGATGGGAACACAGGGGAAGTCGGGGTGGAGCCCAGGACAGTCAGTATTCTGCCTTTCACAGTCTCTGTGATCAAATGTTATTTCCAAATTGGCCCCTGGAGAGTCTTCTAAAAATGAGAACATTCGTTCTGGGTCCCATTTCTTTTGACATTTCCTATTTGCTACCTTGTTTTAATTAAATCTTGGCTCTCTTTGTAAGGGAGAGTTCCTCTGTGCAGAAATGCAAGAATGTCCAGAATGCAATGCTGGGACGGCTTTTCCAGCAGTTCAGGGATCTGAAACCCCTTCTCAACAAGAGTCTTTCTTCAAGCCCAGCCTCAGCAGAGGTTCTCAAAGCTGTCTCTTCTCCAAAGGATGAGGTCAGCTTCCTGTGTGTGCTTCTGCATGTGTGCATGTGTGTGCGCGTGTTAGATCACATGTAAACTATTTGTAATCCACCACACTGTGGGATCACAGCTCCCAATACTATTCCCGAAGCAGCAAAAATAATGGGCATCATTTTTCGAACTCAGAATTCATTGCTACAATGAAACAAAGGACAGTTGGGTTTGTTACTAAATCGTTACAAGAAGCTGGGGCTCTTTTTTTGTCCAATCTTGCTTGTGTTTAACTTGTATTTCTAACTTGGCTGATTACAGCCAGCCAGTGTTAATAGTCCTGCGTTTCTGTTTTTCGTGGATTACAGAGACACAAACAGCTGAATGATGACAATTTGTCCCTTATTTTCCATGAAGATGGCACAGCTGGCCCAAGGAGCAGTTTACTAAGTACTCCTTAGTGAAGAGGGAAATAAACTTTTTAAAAATTCCTCATGACTTTAGGCTCGACCAAATTTTATCATTGCCTGTAAAGCCTAAGTGTCCTTCAAAATCAAGCTTCATCCCTTAAAGTCATCCACCACTTCTCCCAAAAAGGATATTCAGTCAGACTATCCAGATGAAATTTGATACCCAAACAGACAATGTTTAGGATGCAACAACAGAGAGAGGGAGGGAGGGAGGGAGAGAGAGGCAGATAGACAGAGACAGAGAGGGAGGGAGAGAAAGAGAGAGAGCAGGTAGTTATTTTGACATGTTTGAGTCTCTAGGTTCAATCTCCAGTACTTAAAAAAAGTGGGGGGGGGGGGAGCCGGAGAGATGGCTCAGCGGTTAAGAGCACTGACTGCTCTTCCAGAGATCCTGAGTTCAATTCCCAGCAACCACATGGTGGCTCACAACCATCTGTAATGGGATCCGATGCTCTCTTCTTGTGTGTCTGAAGACTGTCACAGTGTACTCATATAAATAAAATAAATAAAATAAATAAATAGATCTTAAAAAAAAAATAGGTCAGTGTGTTATTATGCGCCTTTAATTGCAGCCAGAGGCAGGGGCAGGCAGATCCCTATGAATCCAAAGCCAACCTGTCCACATAGAGAGTTCTAGGCCAGTAGGCCAGCCTGGGCTACATAGTGAGGCCCAATCTCAGATAAATAAAAATTAATATTTTTGTAGTAGAGTGTTGATCAGGATTTCAGTGTCCACGTCTGATGAGGCTTAGGGTGAAAATGTGTTCCCGCAGAAAGCTGCTTTGAGCTTCCACCGTAAACTGAAACAACACAGCCATTTCCACAAAAAATATGAGACAGGTACTGGTGAACTTTAATCTCTGGTAAGCACTATGTTTCAGCGTGGCTTAGGATGGAGTCAGGTTATTGCAGGTTGCACTTGGGGTCAAAGCTCACCGGCCTTCTGCCTTTGCTTCATTAAAGCCTGTGGCCCTGAAAGATTCAGCTGGATATGCTTGCTGGAATTTTGCCAAAGTCAACGGGGTCCCTCTAACCCCAACTCCTCTAACCGTGGTAATCAACCCCCCCCCCTCGCTTCTGAGAGAAGGTCTAGCTAGATACCCCAGACTGGGTTCAAACTTGAGGCAATCTTCCTGCTTCTGCCTACAGAGTATTGGTATTCACATCGCATCCATTTTAAAATGTGCCCAGACCCTGTTAAGCACTTAGCTGGGCCCACAGATTTTTTTTTTTTCCTCTCGAGCAGTAAACTGAGGTCCCGCTGAACAAGGAAACGCAATTCCCTTGTCTGAGAGCTAGGAAACATTTACAAGCCCCAGGCGGAAAGCGTTCCTTAAGGATGACTAGGAGCTGTGAAAGGTCCAGAGAAAGACCCGATCAGCCCCACGAGCTCTCTACGGTGGTCTCCCAAGACAAGCCAAGGCATGGGGAAGAGAGCCACGAACTTTGACCCCCGAGAAGCACAAACAAGGCTGACCGCGCCCGAAGAGGGCCACGGGTGACCCAAGTAGAGAGAGCTTCCGCGTTTGAGAAAGCCACGCCCATCCGATCCCCGCCCACCACCAGCTCGGCCAATCCCCTGGATCCATCGACCGCTCGGGTTTCCCAGGCAAAGGTAATCGAACGCCTATATACGGCCTGGACCCTGAGAGCGGCGATCAGGGAAGGTCAGTAGAGAGCCTATCAGAGCATGGCTGTGGGCGGAGTCGAGGGCGGGGTCGAGTGGGGGCGGGGCGCGCTCCGCACAGTCGGGTGCGATTGGTCACCCCTGGCGGAGCCGCACCTCGGACAGCAGCCGCGGCGGCAGCCTAGGGTCCTGCGTGGAGAGTGGGGCGCGACGGGGACTCGCGGGCGGAGGCTGCACGCGGGGACTCAGCACGCGAAGACCCAGCACGAGAGCGACTCGGGGCACGAGTGAGAGGAGGCGGCGGCGCCGGGGTCGCGGGTGACAGCGCTGAGGTGAGAGCGCGGGCGCCAGAGTGACAGCCCGAGTGCCGGCGCAGCGGCCGCGAGCATCCCGGGAGCGGAGTTGCTAGCGGTTCTGCCAGTGCGCCGGGGGACCGGGAAGGACCGGGAAGGACCGGGACGGGGAGTGAGTTGGGGACCCTGAGAGGGATCGCGGAGAGTGAGAGGACCAGGATGGGGACAGGGACGGCGGGGTGAAGAGTGAACTCCGAGGGGGACTGCGGGTGAGCGAGGGGACCCGGAGAGAAATGGGGGGAAAGCAAGATGAGGAGGGGACCGAGAAATACCGCGGGAGAGTGAGAGGACCCCAAGACACCAAGACAGGACGGAGCAGTGGGATTAACGAGGCGACTTGAAGAGGGACTCCGGACCACGGGATAAGCGAGAGAACCCCAGAGGGACTGCGACAGTAGGGTGAGCCAGGAGATCCGCCCCAGATGGACCGGTGGGAAAAGCGGACGGGACCCAGAGAGGGACACTCAGAGAGACTGAGACTGCAGTCTGAGCAGGGTGACTTGAGAGAACCCAAGCAGCGGGATGAAGGAAGGGGACTCTAGAGGGACCGAGACGGAGGATAAGCAAAGGAGACTTCAAGGGA